TTTATTCCATAAAATCTGCTTTTCCTTCAAACTATAAGCATCTGTAAAACTCAAATTTATAAATATGCTTAATTTCACTTTTGAAATATTAACCTATAGTTTATTATATTGTTTACATTATTTTTAAAATACTTAACAGATATATCAACTGACGTGCCTGCTTTCTCTCCCTTTTTAGAATGAGAATTCTGATGGTATAGTCTCTGTGGAGTTCCACAGCCAACTCCAGACATCAGCTCTCTGGAAGTATGAACCCATAATCATTTCCAGGGTAGGGTGAGTAATCTCTTTCCATGTAATTTGTTGTTGTGTGTACCATGGACTCAGAACCTACTCATAGCAGACCCTGTAGCAGGATTTCAGAAGTTAATTAAAGGAAAGAGTGCCCATCTTTCTCCCACAAAGAAGCTGGTGGATTGCATACAATTTGTAGCTTTGGTAATCCAGTGGAGGGTCAGTATGAGTTGATTCTAATTCAAATGCAATGAGCTAGCGAATATACAACCCTCCCTTTATTGTAACGCAGTATTTTTTTCTATGCCAATATAATTCATTATATTCTTAAACATCACCATACTTCTCTATATACGTGGTTTAATCATATCTTTTCCCTGGCGATGAAAATTCTCCTCTCACTGATACAATCTGCACAACATCTCTCTATTCTTTGATTTCCTAATTGCATGTCATTACCATTCTGAAACAGTTCCCAACTGCTTCTATCACATGTCAACTTCTAACAGGGCTTGCTGCTCTATCCAACTACTGGCACTTAGCAGATATTTCCCTGCTTCTTGTTGTTGTATACCGTAGAGTCGGAACTGACCCATAGTTGACCCTCCTGGGGAGGGAAGGTTCAGAGACAGTAAACTATATGGGAGGAGATTACTTATCTTTCTCCCATGGAGCAGCTGGTGGTCTCGAACTGCATGCTTTCAGGATTGCAGCACAGCTTCTTACCATTAAGCCATTTTTGTCTGTTTTTTTAAATTTATTTATTTAGTTAAAAATACTTTGTTTTCTTTGGAATAAAATCTTATGACTTCATACAGCTAGTTTTTAATCTCTAAGTGGAATGTCCTCAATAAATTTGATGCAGTATATGAATGCATCTAAAGAATACTTAAATGTAGACTTGCTATTTATTATTAACTTTTACAAACATTCATTATCAGAATGAAGGAATTAATTATTCACTTAATAAATCCTCAAGCATAGATATTGTTTGCTGTCATAAACTTCACAACTCCACGGAGCTTTAGCGGCTTCGCTAGCAAAGAACTGTTTGGCTAACCCAAAGGCAGTGCCTCTCTGGCAGTTCGAATCCACCAGCTCCTCCAAAAGGTGGGTAATCTCCTCCTTTGCCCTTTGCAGTCTCTGAAAACCTGATGCAGGATCAGCTATTAATTGATTTCAACTTGAAGGCCTTTAGTTTGAGTATAGAGTGAAAACACTTCACTGGAGTAGAAGTTGAGTGGAATGAAAGAACCAAAATACAAAGAGAAAAAATGAGGATAAAGAGAAAGATGATGTTCAAAGAGAAAGAAAAGAGACAGAATAAAACAAACAAACAAAAACATTGAAAATAAGTTTAAAGAAGAATAAGGAAGAGGGAGAAAATGTCAACTGAAACGATGCCTGATGTTATTCATGCATGAATGAGCAGATATATAAATTCAAAATTACTGACAATAAACTCTGCTTACTGGTCACTTTATAAGCTTCTAAGAAACTAGAACCATATACTACAGCCTTTACTTAGCCATCTGTGTCCAAGAATTAGAATTATACAAATGAAAAAAATAGAATAATTATGACATTTCCAGAAAATAACAAACCTTAAGTAATGTTTTAGCAGCCAATCTGTTCTTTTTGTATGTGCTGAAGCTTCTAAAAAAATTTTTTATCAGTACATGGTCATTGTTTTTACCATGATACTCAGGCAACTCTCTGTAAGAAATAAAAATGTACACATCTAATTTTATATTGCCTGAGTCAATGTGTCTTCTTTCACTGGTTCACAATCTTTGTGTTGAGACCCAGTATATGACCCTATAATAAACTGAGGGTTAAATAACGTCTACAAGAGATGATGGAGAAAAAGGACAGGCTACATGAGATACATCACAAAAGAAGACAGAAATCCCTTCTTGCTGAAGACTAACTCAGTGAT